AGAGCTTGTTGTAGAGCTTGTTGTTGAACTTGTTGATGAACTTGTTGATGAACTTGTTGTACTCGTTGATGAACTTGTTGAACTTGTCGTAGAGCTTGTACTACTTGATGTAGTGCTCGATATTGATACTGAAAATTTGAACAGAAGAGAATTTATTTATAAGTAATAGGTGAATAAATAAGTTTTATAAGAATTTTTATAACAAATATTTCGAAATTTTGTTAATTTTATCTATATATCAGTGGAAACATAAAAATTCATAAGGAAAATAAAATTATTTCGAATCTTATTGGGGAAGTACATATTTTGTGTTTGATTTTTGCAAAGCAGATTACACTGTTTTATATTCAATTATCGATCTGTGGAGGTAGCGTACAATGGTAGAGCTTTTGGTTAAAAAATACGACACGAACGTCTGCGTTTGCGCAAAGATTTCTTAGATAAATATTGTTTCAGACAAATAACAAATAAGAGTGATTTGAGATGCCATGAAAATGTACATTAACAATAAAAGAAATTATTATTTCAAGTTTTTTACGGTTAGTTATGATCGTGTGTAAATAACACCTTGGTATCAGGAACTGTGGATTCTTTCTGATCCGATTCAACTTTTCTTTTTTGTGTGGTCCAGGTTCACATCTAGATTTAATGTCGAACCCAGTTTCTGTGTAGCTCTGAATCTGAACAGAACTAATTATTTGTGAGAATACAACAGGAGATAACTCAGTATTGACCTTTATCTGAGAGTAACCAATGAATAACCAAAATCTCAATCCTTTATTCTGTTATGCACACAAAAATGTACTTGCAAGTATATCTATCCATATATTCTCGATAACGACGTATTAACAGAGAAGTAAAAAGAATCATTTATACTCCGGACAAGATTTTTTTCGCTTAAAATGATAATTTATGTCATCCATCGACAATTTATCTACTGCTGGCTTAAATTATAAAAATCCTAACGATATTGTATCGAAAGTGCTATTTTAAAATTGACTGCATAAATGTTTGCATGACAGTTATGTAAACGGCTATGATAATCTTCAGAGTCATATTGCAACAGTATTCCTTTTGAAAATTCTGTATACTACACTGAGAAAAAAGGTTTCAAAATCCACTTTAAGTTTGGTAACCATACCATTTTTTTTCTCAATACAGAAGATAGCGAAAGTGAGAACAGAATGACAACATCCTCAAGAGATTTCGAGCGAAATCAATTGGTTAATTTTAATAAATGTAACAACACTCCACAATAGGTGTAGTCGCACAATCTTACTTGATGAAGTCGATGTTGTAGTCGCAGTAGTCGATGCCGAGCCTATAATAACATCAAAGTATAAAAGTTTTGTAGTATTGAAAGAGATCTTGAAATTTACTTATGAAGATAGATTAGAGATTACGAACTGTACATGAATTCTTTGTCTCAATAAAAGAAATTACTTACTCGATGTGCTATTTTGGCTGATTATTTTCGAGTTTATACTTGCTGTTGTACCAGTTGAAGAGGACCGAAGACTTATTGCAACCGGGACACAAATCGCAGCGGCAAGTAGCGCAGTAAGAATCACTCCACCTATGATTTGGAGACAGCAAGGACATGCTAAACTTGGTACATAAGCAGGAGGTCTTCGTCTAGAAGCAGAAAGATTCGTACACTTTGTATAATCAATATGATGGATCAACAAATGAGAAAACTTACCTACGATCTGTATCTGATCGTTCTCTCAAATAAACTGATGACGGGGGTATTGGAATGTTTGTCGGATAAACTACTGCTGAGCGAACGTAAGGCATTGATAACTGAAGATTGTATACGACACAAACAGGCTTTTATATCTTCTGTTTGTCCCACTCTGGATGCTCAACAATTGTAATAGACAAGTCAACAGAATGCATTTTACTATTTATGCTAAAAAGGAATAACAAAAGAACCTCTAGTAAATCACATCGCCAAATAAATTTAACATGATGAATACATACAAACAAATGCTACGACATAGGTTATTTGTTTTATTCGTAAAAGTACATTGATTTTGGTAAGAAGTACTCGTAAAATTAATAGTCCATTTGCTAAGAAAACAAATCATATAAAGAAAAACTGCATTTATCAATCCATAAAGAAAGAGTATAACTGCCTTTGTTGCTTTGGACAAATAAATTTACATTCACTTTGCACCATTCAACAAGTGACAGATTTACTCAATTTTTTCAATTCTCTGTCTAATGCAAATGACTAGTCTTGAAGAAAAGCATATAGATTGTCACCAGGCATACATCGAAGTCAAACTTCCTGGGATCAGTCATTTATATCGTTACAACAACAGTAATCAATAATGAAGAGTGAAAATATGCAACTAGTTTACGAAGATTTCATATAAGAACCATTTCGTGTAAGCCACGTACTTCCTTACTCATTCGACATTCTCCAGTTTAGCTACTTTTTACGCATGTTATAGAAACAAGCGGTTGATGAATTTTGTCTGAAATCATTTAAAAAATGTCACCTCACTCTCGAGATATTTCAATTTTTCTAGAGATTCAATCATAAGCAGCTTGAATGCTAGTCAATTCATGTAAGTTGAATAAGCGAAGATGAATCATCAACGATTATAATTCGTCAAAGTAGATTTGAAAAAGAACCTTTATTTTTTCTAATATCGTATGTGTGAGTATGAGTGTTGAATTTCACTCATGCCCACACCCACACCCTTTTATGATTAAATTATTTTAGGTACTGGACAATTTGTATGTATGCGTAATCTTTATATAAAAAATGATTTTGTAAATATGTATAAGAAATAAATCGAAAAAAAGATAATGAAATATAAAGAATACTACGAATAAATTATAGAAAAACATGATGTTGATGGTTTATGTTAATTGTCATAATCTATTATAATATACATTCTTTCAATTCTCTATAATATATTATATATATACTTTTGTTATATAATCAATGCTTTTTTATCATTATCTTGACTCTATATGTTTAATCTTCTTTTTTTTTGTGTTCAAATATCATAATTCATGATATTAAATTATATTTATTTTTAAATAATTATTAGTTACATTATAGATATATTTAAAAAAAAATAAAATCTACTAAAATGAGAAAACGTATGTGAATAATTGTTTATTACAACTTATATCAAGAGATTAAATCATTATAAAAGTCCTAATATTAACAAAAAAGAAAAAAATATCACTGATTCGATGTGAATAATATATTAAAATATAATTTATATTTATTATTTCTTTTACGTTTAATGATAATTATAATTCTATCACTTATATATAAATAAAAACTAATTTATTCTTCTTAGAATGATATATCATCGTTGTTTTTGATGATGATGCGACAAATGAACGCATAAAAGAGAATATATGAATAGTTTATTATAATAAAAAAAAGCAAAGTTTATTTAGTATGTTGAGAAGCAGTGTTGTGATTAGGTAGTCAATCATGATCATGATCGGTAAACATCGATTGTTCAGCATTTGAAGAATCAGCAACGAATAAAGGATTTAATGTATGCTGATGTCTTTTATCAGAATTTACTTCTGTACCTACAATAATCGGTATATCAATATCAAAATTAGTAAACATTCCTTCAACTTTAATGGCAAACTTAAGCATATAATTGTTGTTAACAAAAGCAGTTTTAGAAGTTCCTCCTTGAAATTGATATGATGGTGGTAATGTTATCGATGGAATTTGTACGTCAAATGTTTGTTTTATATGTTGATCTTTTGATTTCATAATATTTGGTAATGTTGTTTGAAATATAATATGTCCACCAGAACTTTGTCCAATTTGATATGATTGTAATATTGAAAGAACAATACTTTTAATAACAATTCTTTGTGGATTTTCAATATCGAATGTTATATGAATAGTTTCACCAGGAACATATGCTGATTTATTTAAAGTTCCTGTTAATGTTATATCTTTTCTATTATGATTTCTAAATGTAATTGTTTGCAAATATTGAGGATTGTGCAATAAATTAACCTTTGGAAATACTGTTATACATTTTGCTTCTCTTGTATTTGATTTGTACCATGGTTTATCAATAACAACTTGTAAATAATATCGAACATAAGGATATGATTCAGGTTGATTAATTGTTGGTGGTAGATAATTGGTTAAAGGAATTCCAAACGGCCACAAATGTTTTCCTTGAGTATAAACTACTTGTTTTTGTCCAGCTTTAGGGTGTGCAAAGATAGATTTAATAGAATAAAATGGAACATGATGATATTCGGTTTCATAGGCTATGCGACCAGTACTATTTGAACTCATTCCTGTTGTTTTTTGACCATTCTTCTGACGAACTACTTGCTTTTGTGTTGTATAACCAATTTCACCTGTCATTTGTAAGTAAATTTCATCTGCTTCAATTTTTCCTTCAGTGATATTTAAGGCGACTGTTCCCGAGACGACTTCATCAGTAAAATAAAATAGATTAGTTCGATCAAAGTTAATTGTAAGTGTGCTACTGTTACTGTTACCCATGTTGTTTTTTGTGATACTCTAAAATATAAATATATTCGAGAAATCAAACCATCTTGAGGATGGGTGTGGGTGAATAAGAGATCCACACCTTCACCTTCAAAGTAAAAGAGGTCGTCTATCAAAAACAAAATCTGTCTTACTGGTGCAGTGACTCGAGTTTATCTATATTAAATTTTTCTTCTTGTTTTGTAATATATAATCTACAATTTTTTTTCTACTGATAAAACACATATTCCTTACTGATCAAACTCGAACTCTTTATTTATCAAATTTCTTTTTCTTACTGGTAGTAATCCTATATTCTTACTGATACTTAATATAATAAACTGAGCATTTTCATATTATTTACTACTAATTTAAGAACTGAGTATGCGTATATGTGTAAGACATTTACTCTTCGTCTATACCTACACCTTTCTTTTATTTCATAATAAAGTTGGTACTGTGATATTACTAACAACAACAATATTTACTGTTCCATTTTCTTCTTCTCGCATTGGTATTTGATCTCTTCCAAACATTGTGTATACCATTTGTTTCAATTCACATCGAAAAGCTTTGGAAATAACAACAAAAATGATAAAACTTACAGAATAAGAAAGATTAAAAAGTAACGAGGGAAAGCTATTTAAGAACGTATCGATGTCTTGATGTAATTGTGTTCATATTTGTTCTCTAGTAATTGCTAGATATGTGTAGAATATATTAATTCCAATACGAAAGATAGTGGAGACAATAACAAGAGCAAATAAGCAGCGAAGAAATTGAAAATCTTTTTTGGTTATTAATGAAACTTAATTTCGTGGTTGACGTGAAACAATTCGTATATGATGAACATTTTTAAAAGATAATAAACATAGAATAATCATTCTAAAAGAAAAAAGAATATTGATGATTGCCAAATAACAGGTTCAAGTGGGTGTGTGAGTCTGTGAATGTGAATGTGGATGTAGGAGCAAGGTGAGTACAGTATCCACAGTTTTGAAATATGCATGAGCTGAAGCAGGCGACGCGGGCGCCCCATCGATCATCGTTCATTCGGATACATGTTGAGCGGTTCTTATCAGCACGCGAATTAATTACGATGATAGCCATAATGAAAACGCAAACCACATTGAAAGCAAGTTTAGCCATGATTTAGTATATCGAATCAATAAGTATTAGTGGTGTTCTAAATATCAGATATCTAGTCTTTTGCTTACAACATAGATGGTCTATTATTTTACTTCCCAAAACAGTTTAGATCAGTTCCTTTTTTTGTATGTTTATAGTCTCGATATTTTACACGAGCAAACATTCGATACAAAATACGTGAAAGATTAAATGTTTGATATTTGAGACGGCATGAATGATAGGTACTTCCTTTGTGTATTTAGATATCAATGAAAGAGCAAGGAAGTTATTGCTAAGAACTTACGCTAGTCTGGCATACATTTATAATGTTCTGACTTTGAATCATATCTAGTTCTGTAACTCCATTCATTGATTCGAAATCTATTTTTATAAGTCTAACTACGAATTTTATTCAACAGAAGATAGATATCCACACACCCACACATTAATATGTTAGTATAACTTGAATTTATGTTTATAATATGGAGCAAAATATCGTGCTTGATATATTGCTCTATTTATTAGTGAATTTAAAAAAATGCACATGACCATAAATATTTTAAATACATAAATTTTATAATCATCTTAAAAGATTCTATTGTCTGGTGACAAAATGATAAACATGTCGCAAAAGATTAATTTCTATAAAAGTGTTCTATACTGATTTAAATACTTTTATAAAACTATACTCGTGATCATCAGAAAATAATCGTCCTTAAATGACATTTAAATTCTTTTCTTGTCAGCAATATTCAAAATTCAGTTTCTAATTTAAATTAAATCATGGTCCGTTAGAATTCTTTGATTGTATATATGTCATTGTTATTTTATCACCATTACACATACTTGACTATGAAATATAGCTTTTGTTATTTTATGTTTAAAAAATAAACGTTTTATTACAGAGCACTACTAATTACAATGAAGAAATCAATGATTTTCTTATATTGTCAACAATTTGTGATCAAATTATAGTACTTATTAAACATTAATGATGGGGCGGGAATTTTCAGTAAAAATATGAAACTATTAAAATATTGCTTCTTCACATGACGTTAAAAACATAAATAATTAATTATTCTTTGTATTGTTTTCATATTCTGCGTCAAATCTCAAGTGATACTTTTGACTTTTTCAAGATTACATTTATAAATAATGCGTAAAATAATGAAGTTACAGAGTGCCGTCATTCATACAATACCATCAAACTTGAACAAATTGAAATAAAGAAGACAAAGAAGAAGTCTATATATATACTATAGACATGTTTATTTTGTAATATTTATTCATTCTCTGTTTCTTTATAGACTCGTCTAATAAAAATATAAAGAACACTAATCTGGAAGAGTTAAACGGAACGCTTGTATTATAAAATTCCGTATTTTTCTATCAAATATGCTTTCCGATCTCTTTTTTATTGTTAATTATTGGGCAACAATTGTATCTTCAATTATTGGTATATTTTTATGTTTACTAATAATTATCATCATTGTTACACATCGACAATGTCATACTATAACTAATGTGCTGACATGTAATACATGTGTTGCAATTACTCTATATTTTATCTTTCGAATAGTTACATCTATTTATGGTCTACGTCAAGACTGGCAGGATTATAATCAACCAGCTTGTATTTTCCGTGCGTATTGCTCACTTACATTATGTACTGCTCTTTGTTACTCATATTCTATTCAAGCTATTAGTCGTTTGTTTTTTGCTGTTTTATACAAATATAAATATCTCCTAACTTGGCGCACTCATTGTATCTTGATTGCTATCAATTGGTTAGTCAGTGTTATTATACCAATCAAGCCATTTTTCCATCATGATGGTTTTGGATACGAAGAAGAATCTCGTAGTTGTGTTGTTACACCTAAAATCGTATCAATATCGGCGTATGTTGTTGTCTTAATATTTGTTATACCATTAAATATTGTAACAATCGTTTATGGTGTAATTCTTTATCGTGTTCGTCAATCAACTCGCCGAATAGCAGTAGTCAAACTTAATACGATCACAAGTACAGTTCACAATCGAACTCTTGTGCCGAATGGAAAACGTGAATTAAAAATCATGCAAAATATGTCAGCTCAATCAACTATTATTTCATGTGGAGGAATTCTCTATTTAATTCTTGTGATTTGGCTTGCTACACAACAACATCCTCCACCAGAATTATTTTATTTACTAGCTTTAAATTTAATATCAATTTTTACTGCAATCATGATGATTGCTCTCTTTCTCATGAATAAGCCAGTTAAAAAAATTGTTTCAGATTATATTTTCCAACTTTGTAAAGTAAAAATTGGCACAGCAACGAATCGCACACAAACAGCATGATTTCCGGCATATCAAACTAATTGTTTATCATCTCTTCTTAAATAACGACACAATTATAAAAAGCAATTTAGAAAAAACGTGACTTTGTCAAAACAACAAACAATTCATAACATATGCTTTGAAGCAGAGAAACTTTAAATACTTCACAATTAATTAAATAACATAGATTGAAAAATGTAATATATAATATATATAATAAATAAACAAGTATTTTAACAATCTATAGTTAGCGCAAACATAATATCATTAGAATGATACAAAATATACTCTTAAATAAAACTATGTCGAAAGATGTCGCGACTGCCTTGTAGTTTGTTGGGTTTTATACAATTGGACTGACTGACTATGTGATCTAGTTTCCAACTTTTAGATTTATGGCAGAAATAAATAAAGGAAGAGGTTATTTATAGAAAAAAAACAATACTATTTGTAACGCAGAATGAATATTAAATTCTTTCCAGTGATGCAAGAAATATTACGATCATTTTTTAGTCTTGCATCATCTTTTCAAATATATATAAATCGATCGAACAATAACTATATTTTTTATATTGTAGATTTGTGTAAAACAACGAACAGTATTTTATAATCCAACAAAATGGACGCACTTTTAGCACGATTAAAAGAACAGGTTATTTTTTTAATTGAATATATATGAAATTTAATTATATATATTTATTTAAATAGGAAGAAGAGGTCAAACAGCTTGAAGCACAATTATTTAGTCGACCAGAATTTAAAGATAATCGTAAATTGGAAGAATTACGAGCTGAAAATGATAAATTAAACTATCGAGCAAATATTCTCGTTCGAGTAAGTAAGAAAATATGTTTATTCAATATTTTTTTGTTCTTTTTATTAGAGTATCGAGGATTTAAAAAAACAACCACCTCAAGTAAATGTCGCAGGATCTAAATCGGCTGATAATAAAGAAAAACAACCACAACAATCTGAAGTAAAATCAACCGAAAAGAAACCAGATTCACATAAAAAATCATCTGAATCAAAGCAGAATGATAATAAAACTAAAAAGTCAACAACTCCAGCACCAGTTAAAACTAATTTCACTGCTGGAGCAGAAGGTGATAAAGATCACTCTTGTCGAATACTTGATATTTTAGTTGGTCTTTTTGAACAATCGATTCGAAAAGCTTTTCCTGGGGATACAACTCTTCCAGTTCTTGTTGTACCTGCACGACAAGCTGATTATCAATGCAATTCAGCTATGCCTATTGCTCAGGTTAGAAAAACATATTCATATAAATAAATATATATTGAATTTATTATAGAAATTATCTGCGACTACTGGTAAAAAAATTGCACCAACAGAAGTTGCAAAAATAATTGTTGAAAATCTTCCTAAACATGATATGATTGAAAAAGTAGGTTTCATATCAGAATAAATATTTATGATTGTTTATTTTTATTTTCTTAGATTGACTATTCTGGACCAGGCTTTATTAATGTAACTATTTCTCCATCATTTGTTTCGAAACAAATTCGAGATATTTTAACAAAAGGTGTTTTACCACCAAATATTTTAACTATGGTTGGCAAATTAGGTAGCAATGGTGAAAATAAAAGACCTAAAGTTGTTATTGATTTTTCATCGCCAAACATTGCTAAAGAAATGCATGTAGGACATTTACGGTAAGATTTCTTTCAATACAATATCTCATAACATTTGTTTTATGTATACAGATCAACTATAATTGGTGATAGTATTGCTCGTCTACTTGAATACACCGGTTTTGATGTACTTCGATTAAATCATCTCGGTGATTGGGGTACACAATTTGGTATGCTTATTGCTCATTTACAAGATGAATTTCCTGAATATAAAACTGTATCACCGCCGATTGGTGATCTCCTAGCATTTTATAAGGTAAAATAATTTAAATTATAAAATCGTAGTTTTGTAATAAAAATTTCTTTTAGGCATCTAAAAAACGTTTTGATGAAGACGAAGAATTTAAAAAACGAGCATATGAATGTGTTGTTAACCTTCAAGCATATGATCCAGATATAATTCATGCATGGAAAATGATATGTGATGTATCTCGAAAAGGTAAAAAGAAAAACAAAAATAGGAGAAATTGTTTATTAATTTAATTTCTAATTTAGATTTCGAATATATTTACAAAGAACTTGATGTTAAAATAACTGATCGAGGTGAATCATTTTATCAAGATCGAATGGTGGATCTTGTTAAAGAACTTGATTCTAAAAGTATATGAATAATTATATTTTGACAAAAGAAAATAAATTATTTTGTTCTTTGAAATAGATTTATTAAAATTAGAAGACGGTCGTAAATTAATGTTTCTACCTGATATTGATGTTCCAATGACAATTGTTAAAACAGATGGCGGTTTTACATATGATTCAAGTGATATGGCAACAATAAAACAACGTTTACAAGAAGAAAAAGCTGATTGGATTGTTTATGTTATTGATTCGGGTCAAGTAAATAATTAGAATAGAAAAAAAAATGTTTTTGTAGAAATTTTCTTTGATTTTTCATAGGCTCTTCATATGCAATCTATTTTTGCTGGAGCAAAATTAGCTGGATGGACTGAAGAAAATAGTGCTCGAATTGATCATGTTGGATTTGGTGTTGTACTTGGTGAAGATGGGTATATAAATAAATGATTATCTAATAAATAAATATACTCTTCTTTTTTCTTTCTTTTAGTAAAAAATTGAAAACTCGATCCGGTGAAGCTGTTCGTTTACGAGAGTTACTCGATGAAGGTATTGAACGATCATTGGCTAAATTAAAAGAAAAAAATCGAGATACAGTAAACATTTCTTTCATATATGTTTTTTCTTTAATTCATTTATTTTTAAAATTTTCTCAGGTATTAACACCAGAAGAACTTCAAAAAGCTCAAAAATCTGTTGCATATGGTTGTATTAAATACTCTGATTTATCTCGTAATCGAAATTTTGATTATATATTTTCATTTGATCGAGTATGATACAAAGTTTTCAAATCTCATTTTATCTTTTTTCTTCTCTCTTCAACTATAGATGCTTGATGATCGAGGAAATACAGCTGTCTATTTACTTTATGCTTATACACGAATTCAGTAAGAGAACGATTTTCTTATTTTTAATATTTATTTATTTATTTAAACATAGATCAATTGCTCGAAAAGCTGGTATTGCTCCTGAAACATTAAAAGCTAAGATGCAAGATGTTGAACTTGATTTTGCAAATGAAGAACAAGAATTAAAATTAGCTAAATGTATTATTCGATATCCCGATGTATTTACACGAGCACTTGATGAATTATTAATGAATGGTTTATGTGAATTTATGTATCAATTAGCCACAGCATTTACCGAATTTTATGATCGATGCTATTGTGTTGAAGTCGATAAAGTAACTGGTGAAAGTCGAATTAATTACCGACGAATACTTCTTTGCGAAGCAACAGCAACAGTATTGAAACAATGTTTTGAAATTTTAGGTATTCAACCATTAGAACGAATGTAATTCTCATGAGAATTTCATTATGTCTTTTTTTTAAACACGAATAAATAAAAAGGCAAAAAGAAAAGAAATATATTATATTTTTTTTTATTTCTTGAGGGTGTGAATGAAATTGATCAACAATTCTAAGGAAGTGTGACTAGTTCTGCATACTTGTTCAGCAATAAGTCAGCTTTCACCCCATTTGCACCTTCCCGTTCCACTGTCATTATAATAGAAATATCTCCGGAACTCTTCTCTTGCGTCAACAGAATATATCCAGGTGGATAAATAGTACCACCACCAGGAGTTGCATAAAAAGGTTTTCCCCAACCAAAATCTAGTTTTGGACCTTGTAAATCAAATCGACACCAATTGGTCATTATTATATCTGCTGTCCAAGCAATACGACCAGGAGGTTTGGTGTTTTCGGGAGCTTCCATAAACGAAATCCTGTTAGCAATAGCTTCTGGTGAAAGTTGAAGGTTCACAGCGTTTCTAACCGCCAGGGCAACACGAGAAGCCGACTCACAAGTGAGAGATAATAAATCGGAGCGAGAAACGGCAGCATTGAAAAGGGCGTTGAAGTTTCCAAAGTATCGTCCATCAGACATGTTTCCTTGAGGAGCCCTATCTCGGCCATCAGCGGCCATTGCAAATGTCTCAATTTGTGATTCCAAACTAGATCTTCCATCTAATCTTGCCACATTTTCATTTTCACGAGCACGTGTAATGACACCACCAAGAAGAGCAGCAAGTGCATCACCCGATGAAATCCATAGATCAGAATCGTGAGATGGTGAGAAATCATTCTTTAATCGTTCAAGAGCACTTTTGGTAAATTTCCATCTTGTAACTTCTGATGATTCTAATAAATATGAAGATGATCCGGATGCCGGAGCAGGAAGAACCATGAATCCTGGAGGAGGTGTCGGTGTTGTTGACTTTTGGATCAGATCAGAAAAAAATCGACCGGGAGTATGAGACCAATCTTCTGGAATTTTTGTAAAGTCGATGGTTTCGCCTCGAGTGAGTTGAGCCCAGACTTCAAGAAAATCGAGAAAGCCACGTAGATCAGTAACTAGATGGTTAATAGAAGCTGCTACGGCGATCGTTCCGCAGGAAAACTATTTTAACAAAAAAAAACATATTCAAAGTTAAGTGGTGATGATAATATAATAAAACATTCTACATTACCTGAGTTACTTTCACTGCTAATGTACTTGTTGATGGAGGTAGCAACATGAAAAGTCGAGGAGATAGATCTTCAGCATCACCAGCATACGGTGTATCTTTCATATCGACCAGGAATGGTGTACCCAACCTATTTTCCGCATCCATATCGATGTAAATCTCGCCTTCCTCATTGGTTTGCAAAGTTCCTGCTACTGGTGGATACAATTCGAGTGCTTCGGCAAGAGAAGATTTTAGTTTATCGATTAAGTCCGTGGTAGTGCTTATCAGATGAGATGGTGGACAGTGGTAGAATCGGTGGTTATGGATGTCTATAGGAGCACCGATTAGATCCATGCCATGAAGTGCTATTGTCGATGGTGGACGTGGACGATTGTATTTATTGGTGGTGGGGTAGATTGTGTAAGTTTCGACAGAATTTTGTGTTACACTCATTCTTTGTGCCATTGTGAATCTACAAGTAGGTGAAGACAGTCAACACATGTTTTCTTACTACTTATAATATCCTTTCTAAGCCTTTTTTTTATCTTATTTAAATATATTTCTTGTTTTTAAAAGATAATATAAATAAATGAAATTATCTAAGAAACTTTAAAATATAACTATGTGGTATTTAAAGCATCTGTTGATTTTTTCTTTCTATAATAGTATTATAAGTATTAGGGTTGAAACTACTACTACTACTACTAGAATATATAGTAGATTTTATAATCTATAAAAATAAAAAAAGGTGTTGACTAAATTTTTTTATACTAGGCTAAAAGACTTTGTTAAGGATATAATTATAAATAATATTAATTAATTGAACAACTTTTATAACTTTGCTACCCTTGTGGTTAAGAGTAATAACTGATAGTATAAATAAGAGTAAGAATATAAGGGTGTGGGTGAACAAAGACGCACCATACCCTAATATCTAAACACTTAAATAACCTGGCTCTATCCTAGGATCTAAGTCTAAATAAGGTGAACTTACCAATTAAATATCTTCTGTCTGAACTGATACTAAAATCCGTCGTTGAATTTGCTTGAAGAAGACTGGACTAGAAAGAGCTTTTCACGCTGAATCAGAGTATCTATTATTCTCCACGATTCATGCTGAGTTGACGAAATCCCGACCGAATAGAAGAAGGCCTGACTGATCAGCATCGTGCATAGAAAAGATTGAAATCTCGGATCGGATTTGGAGAATTGAACTAGATGTAGTTTTTCACGCTAAATTAGAATATTCAACACAACTAAAGCTTTAATCCAAATTAGAAGACAACGAAAAATGACTGGATGTTAAGCCATGACATTGCACTAGTAGTACTTCCTCCGTACTGTAAGCAATGTTTCGAATATATATGAATTGATACTTAATGCATTTTAAAAACTTCAGGCATTAGTAGTTGTCAATCATTATCGATATGCAAAATCTTACGAGTAACGTTAGTCATGTGTTTGGTTATAGATTGCGCTGTAGTATAGTGGGTTGTGGGTGTGAATCAAGAAGAGAACAACACCCACTCCCTCAAGATGGTAACTAACGTCTTTTAAAGAAGTTATCAATCTTCAACAATTCCAAAACCACAATCTAATCGAATGTTAGAGTACATCCGTATTTGTTCGTATGGTTGAAGAAATACCTGGACAATTGCCGAAATACTCAACACTGCCTTAACTCATTAAATAGTTCTCCAACTCCGAATCTTAATATCGAATACCAAACTGAACTAGCACCGTTTGGTCCTACGTCAAAACTGGAATTCAAATTTACTGCGTGTCTAATCTATGGTCACTCCACTTTGAAAGTAATTGATGAAATACGAATCGTAATCTGAGCACTGGAGACCACTATTCCACTTATTCACGATCTGATTTTGTGACAAGAACTGTGACAGTTTGCTTCTTTTTTCTAAGTTTTATAGGTAAAGAAAGGCACTATTTGTTATTGCAAAACAGAAAAACAAAGAATGAATCTTTTTTTGCTCGTTTCTTTCTATAATGTAACATTATCTCGAACGTTTATATAAAGGTTTGCTCTTATCTTTTACTAGCAGAAAAGAAATCCCTTCAAGGTGAATAATATTATTATCAATTGAAAATAAAATAAAGAGTTCTTATCAACTTACACTATTCACTTTGTCTGCCAATCTTTCTACGTCGATACAATAAAAACTTCGTTCGACTTTGCTTATAATTCGTCAATCGACTGTCTTTTACACATTTCTTTACTTCCGAGAGAAGTCATTAGCAATATATACGTGAAAAGGATAGAATAGCAAGTGCAATACGAATAACCAAAATCAGTACGTATTACTCGTCGCATATTCTTGTCTTTTCGCAAGTATGTCTTTATGTGGGTAGACATGTAGCAAACTCAAACCTTTTGAAAGTTTGAGTTTAGATGAGATAACAAAACAGGACATGAACCAAACCCAAATCGTTTTGGTTTTTGTGGGTTTGATTATTGAGTTTATATTTGGGTGTGAGTATTATTATTTCAATCACACATCCACACCAAAACCCATCACAATACTCACACCCACACCCTCAAATGATTCAGCTTAAACCAAATTTAAAAACAGAAACTTCAATGAGTATAAATGAAAAAATATGGAACTGTTCGTTTTGTGCCGTTTAATGTGCTTCATGAAAGTCTTCCAGCGAGTCTTGTTTCATTTGTAAATACCCCGCTTCAATTTATCCGTTTATTTCCAAGACCGATTACTTATTCATCATCCGTGCTAACAAACTTGAACAAATATTTCGCGATATTATCGAAAGTATCCTTGACTCGGCTAACTGTGGATGAATAAGCGCGGTGAGAGTTGCAGCAATGCTTATGACTAGTTGTCCAATAGTTCATTTGACACGTTTTGCCACAATAAAGAGCTCGTATACAGCGAGTACATTTCTTCAATTTCATCTAGCTGTCGCTACTCCCTACCTTTCAACAGGTCCAACAGTGATCATGTACCGATGGTTCATAATGTAACGGATGACGGGTCTTGTCGAGAAGAGAAGCCATTACTTGAGCGCCGCTTGGTTTAATTTATGGATGAAGAAAGATATGTTCATTGCTTTCGTTTGGCGGGTGGGAGTGGGTATGCATTAGTCTTGTCTTGTATCACGTGTACTCACACCCACACCGACTCACATCCAAGTCGACTCACACTCACATCAACCCACACCCTCAAGAAAATCAACGTGTACAGTGTGAAAACATAGTGTTTCACTTTTTAGAATAACATGTATGCCATAGTTTTTTATCTATTTTAGAGTATAGCTGTTCTTCATTAATTCATCATTGATTAAATTCTATAACATTAAACAACATGGCATCAAACTCAACAGGTAAACAACAACACAAGCATGTTTATAGTCTAAGGATGGGTTACTGTCGTTCAAGTGTTGACTGTATAGAGAATCTATGATTTACATCGAATACGATCTTAAACGGAAGGTAGATTTATTTTTCAATGGTATAAAACTAGTATTTTCATAACATACATTTATTCAGAAACTCTACATATAAAGAAAACTTCGAAGATAAAATGAAAACATTTCCAGAACATGTTAAAGTCAGTTGAAATGTAATAGTTTCGATTATGTTCCATATTTTTTATAGGATTAAATTAACTGTTACTAATCTTGCAAGCTAGCGAGGGAAGAAATTAGCATCCGTATGTCGCTAATCATCTTACATAAAAGTATAGTATACATCAGTCTGCCTCGCTGAAATTATGTTTGTTCAGTTCACACTTCACAACTTTTTCAATGAGCAAATAACATTGCTTACTCTGGGGATAGAACTAAGGGCTCCTCATAGTTAGATACAATATACTCCTAATCTTCATAGTAGCCATGAGCTAATCATTCATTGACTTATTTCAAGTTTAACATCGTCTTCGTAGTAAACAGCTGAAATTTCATCTTGCATAATCTATATGACTTTCCGACTACTAAGCGTTTTCATTTAGAACATCAAGAATCTGATGATCTCAATAACTGCAAAAAATTGGATTGTAAAGGTCGTCCTTGTGCAACATGTCATAAGTGTCGTGATTGGCGTTTTATCGGAGGTCACGACACATGGACATGGATCACCAATTGGAAGAATTGGACAAACGATGAATGGAGTTATTTTGACAATGATCGTATTTACATGAATTTTACGAAACATGATGGTGCTACCTGTTCTCTTTCTACTTATGGTTATATTGATTATCCTGTTCCTCTTCATCGTTTTTATCTTGATTCTGCTGCTGCTGCTGCTGATACCCATCGTATTGATGCTGATCATCGTCGTCCTGGTCGTCCCGGTTTTTGTCCTCTTCCAGGTGGTAGTTATAGTCGTGATGGTGGTGTTTATATTTATCGTGGTTCTCTTCGTCATGTTTGTGTTTGCGAGCTACATTAAGACTATGATGATTATAATGTCGCTGTTTTTTTCACACTGTACCAATTGTATTCGAGAATAAAAGGTAATCAGGCAAAGAAAACTGTAACGCAAGCGATCGAGACAGGAGCGAGTGCTCACATATTTTTATGATAAGTGTCGCCAGTGTGCGGTAGATATGTTTTTAAAGTTAATCAAAAAGAAGGAAAAATAATTGCAAACTGCAAGAAATTCTAGCGTCACTAATAAACAAATTACAAATGATATCAAATGTATTTTTTAAGTTAAATAACAGTCCAAGGTCGAGACAAACGAAGCCAAAATGCGTTCCGAACTACGAACGAGAACGAAAACGCGGTCGAAACGGCCCCAACGCTGAATTTTAGCTTGAGAACGTGTTTCGACCTACTCATTTTGACGTTCGGGTGGGTATGGATATGAATATGGATGTGGGTGTAGGTGGATTTGAGTGTGGGTGTTGGTGTGGATGTGAGTATGAATGTGCTTGTAGGTGGGCGTGAGTGTGCATGTGGGTAAAGAAGGATGCAGTACATACATCCATACCTACATTCTTTTATCTTCTACTACAATTTACAAAATAAACAAGACTATCAGAATTATAAGTTTACTCTCGAATATCATTATCGTGCTCACAGCTTTATTTTGATTAATTCTAAACAGAACAAACTTCTGTTTCTTTCGTTTAGGCATGAATATTTTTATTTTTTAACTGTTTCCATGAAAGTTCCATATACGTAATTAGAGTATCTTGAGGGTGTGGCTGTGTTTGTGTATGTGGGTTGTGGGTGTGAATATGAGTATTCATTTTAACTAGACCCACTCCTACGACCTATTTCTGTGGATGAAATATATGAATACTTGTCTTTTAAACTCATTTATTTATTTATATTCATACACACCCACACCTATGAAACGCGTCGGCGAAGCTAAATCTCCATTTATTTATTTTAATAATAAGCATATCAATTTGTTAGTTATTTGGGACATAAAATCTATCGCTGAAAAGCAAAAGTTGAAAGTAGCAGATTAGTTTGTATCGTAAGATATATAAACTGGTCTGTTTAAATTGATTCACCCAAACCCACACCCTCGTTGGTCTAGTTAGTTTTCTTTCTTGAGAGACACAAGTTTCCAGAAAAATAACGTTATGGATAAAGCTAGAGATAAAGATGAATAAAAGAGCTGGTGCTCAACGCATCTTTCTCAGAAGAGCTCTAGATAGACGCTAAAGACAAATGCTACAGCTTACCTTCAATCGAATCAGTAAAAATAAAATCTTCCATGATTTTTTATACACTTCGTTCACATTCTTATGCAATCTTTTACTAATGTTATAAAATGTTTGTTTTTTGCTTCTCCCAAAACACTCACGTGTCTGAACTTATACGCTTCTTGCTAGTTTTAAAAATGCGATAAGAAACGTACAAACGAAACTGAAAATATTGAGCGTATGGGTGGGTGTCTATCATCTCATAACCCACTGTCAAATAATAATAAGACGTCGCTCATTTCAACTCCAAACATGTCCTAAACAGTATAAAAGACTATAAATTATTTAAAAATTTGAAAGAAAATGTTTCGATGGTTTCTATTTAACTGTAATTTACATGTACTGTGATTTTTATAATATTTAAAATTTAATTTAAATAACACGATAAAATATTGTTTTACACATTTAAATTAAACTATTTCTAACTAAAAGATAAATGTGGATCTGGGTGAGTGTCAATGACTACGTGAATATTAGTTGGAGATAAGTCTCAACTTATAATTGCACTTACATCCACCTATCCAGAAAGTATAGAAGATATCAGGATTAGCTGCAAAATAGATTTTCAGAACGATGTATTTGCTTTTCCAATTCTCTGCAAAATAACAAAATATGTTGTTCAAATAAAATCTGTTTTCTCTATTAGAAAACGTTGCATTCTCTTCTTTAAATGACGATATTCAATGTTTTTCTTTCATATCCTTCCTCCAAAGTTTGAATATCATGAATATTCTCTTATATTTACAGCAGATTATAACTGACATCTGGTAGGCTTTTGTTCATAAATCAACCTTGAAAAAGGAATCAAAATTTATTGTTCTTATTTACCGATGATTTTCAATATTATGTTTTGTTGCAGATGTCTCAATAAAATTACTTCATGTTGATATTATTGCGTAGAATAAAAAAACTTGTTATTTTCTTGATTATTAATTTGCAGCAACATATTGAAGTGTTTTCTGTCACTTTAACGATTTGGTAATCAGTTACTTGATAATATCACTGCAAAACAACTTTTTATTCTGGGTCAATTGGATTTGGGTGCGGGTTTGTATAACGTAATGCTATGTGAATAATGGAAAAAGAAAGATTTTTCAGCTTCCATGAACGAATATAAATTTCAACCCTTTTTGTAAATGTTTTTTTTTGTTTCAGTTTGTGCAAAATCATTTCAAACTATTCCGCAAAAGTTTTATAAACATATGTCTCTATATTAATAATTTTCTTTCAACTGATTCCAAAACAAAAGTATTTTTGATTGTTTTAGTTTTGTTCAAGTATTATTTTCTCCTTATATTTGAAAATATGTTTTATTTTGATGTCATCTATTTTTATTAGACATTTTAGATTATTGATTTTAATAACGTATTAATTCAATTTCACACGTGCAAAAACTAATTATGATGGGTCGAAATCAAATAGGAGTTTGTGATGTAATATGTTTGTTAAATAACGTTTGATTTTAATAAACTATTTTAGTCGGAACCAGCTACGTCGGATTCTCAACAAACATCAACTGATCGATCAACATTGTTGTATGTATTTTTTTAACTGTTGAAATTCATAATCAAAAGAATTGTTTATTATAGAAGCAAATGTTTAAAAAGAAAGAAATTTTTATGGACCATTACTGGTATTATTATTGTTATTTTGGTCGTAACTATTCCAACCGTGATTGTTAAAACAAAAACAACAAACGTGATAAAATTATCGACTGGGACAACAGAAATAACAGACATAACAGACATGATACAACTATTAACTGTGGCAAGAGAAACAACAAAAATGATAAAAACAACAACTGTGAGAACAGACATAACAATTCAACAACTTACAACAACAGCGAACAATCCAACAACAGAAGGTATAATATTTTGAAAATTCTGATAGAAAACTCGCCGAGAAACATCTGTAGAAAATATCGCAGAATACACACCGGTGTCAGTATAAATGTAAGAATTTGTCTTCTCTTGATTCTTGACTAGTCATCTATCGATATGTATCATCAATTCAAAGAAAAACAAAAAAAAACATTGTATTTAATTTTCTTTTGTTATACAATATCAAAGATAAATTGTTTTTTCCAAACATCTTCGATCGAATCATTGATTCACAAGTTAAATAAATCTTTAAAAACATTTACATAGTTTGCTTCTCGAACTTAGGAAAAAATCAAATCATATTTTATTTGTCAAAATTCTATTCTTTTTCTTTACTTTTAGTACAAAGCAAGCCAAAATGTGATAAATGGAAACAACATGGAATTACTGTCGCTGGAGGAAATGAACAAGGATCTGGATTAAATCAACTCTCTCTTCCTCACGGAATCTATATTGATGATGATGATAAAAGCATTTTGATTGCTGATACTGGAAATCATCGTATTGTTGAATGGAAATATAATGCAAAGGAAGGACAAACCATTGCAGGTGGCAACAATGGGCCAGGAAATAGTCTGAATCAACTCAATTTCCCATCCGATGTAACTGTCGACAAAGAGAAGAATGCGATAATCATATGTGATTATGAAAACAGACGAATAATCCGATGGTTTCGACAAAGTCAAACAACTCCACAAATTCTCATCTATAGTATTGCTTGTGGAGGTGTGACAATTGACAAAGATGGGTCAATTTATGCCTCTGATTGGAATAAAAATGCAGTGACACGCTGGAAAGAAGGAGACAGATATGAAACAATAATTGCAGGTGGAAATGGTCAAGGAAATCATTCCAATCAACTCTATCGACCTATTCAAATCTTTGTCGATGAAGATTATGCTGTTTATGTAGCGGATACTCTTAATCAGCGAATAATGAAATGGAACAAAGATGCAAAAGAAGGTATTGTTGTTGCAGGTGGAAATGGATGTGCAAATCGCCTCGATCAATTCTCTGGTCCTTATGCAGTGATTGTTGATAATTTGGGTCAAATCATAGTTGCAGATTTTGACAATCACCGAGTGATGCGATGGCGTGAAGGAGATACACAAGGTTCAATTGTTGTTGGTGAAAATGGTGGAGGGGAAAAAGCAGATCAGTTATATCGTCCGATGGGTCTCTCATTTGATATAGAAGGAAATCTTTATGTTGTTGATTATGGTAATCATCGAATTCAAAAATATGAACTATGTACGAAATAAAATGAAAATTGTTTTTTTTGAAAATAAATCAACTGCGAAATAATATAATTTACCAAAATAAAAAATAAAATCATTTGATTTTGAATAAAAGATTTTGTTTTCGAATAATAAAATTTGTTTATTTTAGTTCATGAATTATTCTCTTGAGGGTGTGGGTGTGAATAAAGATACAAGCAGTGGCGGATTTAGGATTTTGGAAGGGAGGGGCGATATCTGGGTATGCAGGAGCGATACCTAAGTAGGGGAGGGAGCGATTTCGGCTAAAAACTATTTTTTAAGTTCAATCGAAGTAGTGTGAACCTATTTTTTCGTTCATTTTTGCTGTAAAAAATCAAAAACGTTTTCTGAAGGAGGGGGCGATCGGCCCCATCGCCCACCCCTAAATCCGCCACTGGATACAAGACACTTTTGCCCGACACCCACACCTTCAAGATTCAGCCAAAAAACAAAAGAATGGCGATGCAGAAAAGCATAAATGTGAGTTCATAAGTAAGAGAACATGTGTAAACGAAAAAGAAATAAGAGAAAAGTGATAAGTCATATATCAATGACTGATTGTTTTGTAATGTGTCTAAAGTAGTTTATGAAATAAAAATCGAACTTTTTATGAAGTGCTGTGGCGGTAGCTTTAGATTTTTATAAAGAAGTCCAAACTTTAATTTGAAACTCGCAATTGTTCATCTATTAAAAAGAGAAAAGTTAAAAAAGAAGGGATTGAATGTTATTGTCAGAGGAAAGACATAAAACTCGTGTTCTTTTCATAATATGTACGAGGACCCTTCTTCGATAATAAAAAAAAAGTTTAAATAATGAAGCAGAACTTTATTTTTGAAATATGTATTTAAGCAGTATAATCTCTGTTAGATCATTTGTAAGCAAAGGGAAAAAATTTATATGATCTGTTAAGTTTATAATTTAGTTGATAAAATAACCAAGAAGTCGAACTTCGCTATATTGAACACAGTCGTCTGATCCACGTTGAGAGGCAATGAGTATGCGATAAGCTCTGTATGCGGATGCTTGTGAAATCGTTTGCAAATCTCCATAGACGGTTCGTCCTGGATCATTATTTAAATTAATACCTGTCCATCCGTAATAGATGAGACTCCATGCTGAACCTAATAGAAGATAGGTTGAATTGTTGGACTGACTACCTTCAATTGTAATTGTAATGGGATCACGAGTGGGATTATCATCACCTGTACCAAATTGAAATGCTTGTAAGACAGAAAAATTGCCACTCTGAGGTATGATAACGAAACCTGTACCAACACCTTTCAAACTGCTGTATGAGTTATGATCACCAAAGCCAAAATTAAGATATTTTGTTGTTAAATTTCCATCTACGACGGTAGACACCGTCTGTCCGGTTGGTGATTGACATATACCGTTGCCGATACCCACTGTTGTTGCATCACGACCCACTGCTGCATTACATACACTGATGAGTATATCCGATGCTGACGTAAGGGAAATGGCGCCAACTGTTTACAAAAATAAAATAACAATTTTCAGATGATATATGTTCAATAACTATAAAATACAGGCCGAACTCACTTGGTGTTAGAGACGATGAAACAAGAGAATTTGAAGTCGATGCCGAACAAAAGCCAATATAACTTCGTGCATAACTCACTGATGTTGCTACCGCTTGGAAAAGAAAAAAGATCAGAAAAGATATTTTGTGAAATGAGAGTACCATACCATTATTTGCTGTTGTTGAAACGATCTTACTACTAAGAGTTGATACTAAAATTGATCAAAACAAATTCAAATAATAATATGCAAAAAATAAGATATCAATAAAGCTCTATCGAATTCTATTTTCATACTTACTCGAATTAAACGTTGTCACCGGATGTGTGTTACTTGAAGTAATAGGCGTTGTCGGATATGTATTACTCGAAGTAGTCGGTGTTGTTGGATATGTATTACTTGAAGTAATCGATGTTGTTGGATACGTTTTACTTGAACTGACGCCTGTGTGAGAAAAAAAGCATTACAATAATGTGTCAATCAATATGTTAAAATATTCACCAGTTGTTTGTGTCGAGACCATCTCACTATTCTCTATAAATGATAAAATAACTGATGTTATATGAAACGCTTTCAAACAAATACTTACGAATAGGTATTACTGAAGTCATACTTATACTTCCTAAGATAGATTAAATAAAAGATTCTATTATAGAAATCTATTTAATAGTGTTACTAGTTGTTTGGGCGTTGGATCTTTTCAAAACAAGGACAGTTGTGATCACTGTTACTATTAAAATCGACACAACCGAACCAATAGCCATGTTTCGTACGGATCGCGATTTGAATCTATAAGAAAAAGAACTATTCAATCTCTGTAATGTCTGTATCACAAATCGATTACATCACTTTCTTAAAAGGATTTGTTGTTGATTGATTGCTACCAAGTGTAATAATGGCTTCTCCCTGTCAGAAGAAAACAAATCATCAAAAGAGTTTTTTTTTGTGATTTACCTGTTGTGCCAACGTTACTTTAGCATCCATAAAATGCTTTCTCAAAATTATGCGAGAGTTTCTACTAAAAAGAAAAAAAAACTTTGCTCTATTTCCATGATAATTAGTTGAGAAAAAAATAGGCGTACTTTTACATGGAAAAAACGATTTCAGCCTATCAGAATTATGATATATCTAATAACACTGTTTTGGCCTAGGCAAAGTGTAATTAGAAATTTGAAGAAAAATCTTCTTTATTTTCATATTTATAAAACAAATGAAGCTGCGAAATTTATGATATACATTATGAGAGCACTCCAAAACGAGATAAATTACTTTTTCTCATAATTACAAAAAAGTAATAATATTTATTTATGCATGATAATCAACAGTCATGATATAGACAAATTAATATAAAAATAACAATATGAAAGAGTACAACAATAAAAATGGAACAATATTTAAATGATTATTGAGTATAACTGCTACGAAGTAAACCATTTGTAGAGCAATAATATTTAATTATGTTACTATAGGCAAATGATTGGCAACAAAAGTGAGTAGTTCATAGAATAAAAACTAAGATAGAAATACTAAAATGTTTTACTTAATGGTTATGGTGGGATCAGGGTGTGGATGAGTCTTGAAGTGTGGAGAAAAAATGAAGATAATATTTGCACTCACACTCAGACGATTGTTCATATGGAAAAAAACTTACACAATTTATAGGAGATTATCATAGAAAAGAAGCTATTCATCTTGTTGATAATGTGCACAAAAACCTTAAATATTATCGAGAAAAAGCATGTAGTATTTGTTTTCATATCAAAAGAAGAACATTCATTTTAATAAATTAAACTCAAATTACAATCAATAAAATACTTTGCCACATCTACGTATTTCTTCTCAACAGAATAGAGACCGTTGATTATCTTTGGATTATTAGATTTTTCCATACAGAGTTATTGAAATGAAATATTTGTAAGAACATATGTCTTGGTACAGAACTGTCTGTAACTTATTTAACGGCAGATCTAGGTTATCTTCAAAAACTTTTAGTTTAGACGAGGAAATAAACTGTTTTCATCAATATTTTATGTTGCTCATGTTGGAAAAAACACTTGAATATCAGCATGTTCTCAAGGAACTTCACAGTTTCCTGAAAAGAAAAAAACTCTTAAACACGTTATTTTGTTTGATTGAGAATGAAATAATTTTTTATTGTGTAACCAGGATGTGAGTGTGAAGATATTCTGCTCACACCCTCAAATCGTCGTTTTGGATGATTCTGAACAACGCCGACAAGTTCGATTCAATATTAAAAAAAAGAAAAGGTTTAAATCATCCAACAACTTATTTAGGCAATCCAATGAAACTGAAAAACACAAAAGCTAATGTTATAAAATGTGATAATCGATGCAGAAAAACAAATTCGCGCCGAGAGTATATAGTGGGTGTCTTTAATTTTAGCCACACCCATACCCTCAAGATGCATTGGATAAAAAAGGGCTTAAACTAGAATTTTTCGTTGAAATCATCAAAATTTTTTATTTTATTTAAAGACAACATATAATAACTCATTATAACGTATCAAATGCTTTATTCGAAGTAAAATCTATTACGCTATGTAACAAAAATTTCAATTCTATTAATTCTATTCTAACTACACCTCAACATCGTGACTTAGATCTATTATGTCAAAAGTTTTCAATACAATATATTAATTACAATTCAGTAGTTTTCTATATATTTGCATATTTTCTGATGAGCATCGTTTCAATTGCTCTTTCTATGTTTATCACAGATAAATAAATCTATGTAGAAACATGTCTCAAAATTCTTATATTTTCTTGGATTTTATACAATTGGACCTTCGTCGGATGCATTACTTCTTAAATAACTCTTAAGAACATTAACCGATCACCATAAAACGTGTTTCTAGTTAGTTTGATGAAACTAAATCGTTGTCAATTGTTCTTTCTTTTTTGTATTTTTTTTATAATTGTCTAAGGTATTAAATAGTCTGATTTATCTCGTAATCGAAATTTTGATTATATATTTTCATCTGATCGATTATGAAAAAAAGTTTTTTAAATCTCATTTTATTTTTCTTCTATAATTAACAATAATTAATACTTGATGAGTAATAATTACATCGAAAGAGATATTTAAATGAAAGAAATTATTTTAGAATCAATAATTATAAAAAGGAACTAATGTCTTTTATTTTTGCAAGATTAAAATGGCAAAAGTTAAAGATTCGTATGGCATCTAGATATATAGCTACATAAAGTGGAAAATGTTTGTATTTTATGGGACAATGAAAGAAAATAGTTATGAATGCAAAGTTTAACGTTTTTGACGTTTGAGTTCAGCAATTTCTTGATCAATTCGTCGTTTTTCAGCTTCAAGTTCAGAAAGACGTTGTTTAGAAAAACCTCCAGCGTTTTGACTGCCTGCTTGTTGTTGTCCATAAGCTTTAGCATCTCCTATTGGTTGATCACCACCTTGTGCGGTTTTATTGCGATGTTTTTCTGCTTGTTCAGCTTCCTAAATATAGATATATATTTAGATAAATTATAATTCATTTTTTTAAATTTTCTTACAAAACGACGAGCCCAACGTGTTTCTTCAGCTTTTTCTTTTTTACCGAATGCATCTTGACCACCGCTAATCGAAAATATTCAAAATAAAAACCTTTTTTTCTCTAAACTTTCAAATACATACCCAACAGAGCCAGCTTCTGGAGTGGTACCCGATGCAGCACTGAAAATACGAGAAAATGAATAGAAAACAATTGAAAAAATAATTCTTAATACCGAGCAAAAGTTAATGTTGAACGAACAACACGTTGAGCAAGTGCTCCATTTGAAGATGTAAGTGCACGATACATAGTTTTATAAAATTCTAAAATATCAACAATATGATAAATATGTTTTGATCAATAAAAATAGCTGAAATAATCAAATATTTCATTAAATCATGAAAAAATTACAAACAGTGTATTTCATATAAGCAACCATACTATGCGTTATTCCTATTTTTCTCGAGAAGAATCCATGTATTATATATTTTGTGTTGGATTAAAACCATTCTATTTATAAATAATAATCGTATAAGAGTGACATCTATGGAAAGTGAATTAATTACTATTTTCTAAGGTGTTATAGATTCAATAGGGTTTTCTGTTACTTTGAAAGATATTAAATAAGACATTTGCAAAGAAAAGAATGACTTTAATATCATCTCTTTTTCAATTGAAATGAATAGTATCTATTAGAGTCATAGAACAACTAAATCAAGATGTTTTTGATTTTCCACTTCTTCGATCATTGATGAAAGATAATTTCATTAGTATCGGAAAAGAACAGTTAAACGATTGATAGAATAATAAAAGTAATAGTCTGAAATGTAGCCTTTCAAAGTCGTTGATATGACATATAAGCAAAATGTCAGCAAAAAGAAAGCTTAGAAATGCTTGATTTCAATCTCGTAGTCGATTATCATCGTTCATACTTTGAATGCAATTATACAAGTGTATACAACAATAATTCATCTAATATATTTTCATATTTTTGATTTGAATTTTTCTTAGTCTTCTTACATACTTTAATATTTTAAGTTGATGATCCGGCGATCATCACCCTGTGACGGTTCTTTTATTTCAACAAAAAGTATTAAAATGAAAAGAAAAACCGACATAGTATTCATTAAATAGAATTTGATCTGATCATGTAAGTTTTTTTTTTCATTTTATTAACTAAAAACTAAATATTCACATTTGTTCTATTAATTGTAATATGAGATGAATAAATTCTGTTATTCATTAGAAAAGAAAAGATTGATCATTGTCAGTCATTCGTCCTATTTGTTTTATTCAAGGTTAAGAAGAAGAAGAAGAAAAAGAATTGATAACTACACCTATATTCATTCAATCATTTGATTTTATAAACGTGTTTCATTTTCTACACATATTTAAAGAAAAAATGAAATCTCGACCTGTTGCAATAGCTACTATAAATGGTACTTCAACACCAGCTAAACGAACATTATTTCGTATTGCATTAACTGTTGCTCTTGTTGGTTCAATATCTGTTAGTGCAATCTTACTTTTAAATAGTGGATTTGCACTTGCACGTCTTCGATATTTTATTGATATTGGTCTACATCCTCTTCATATAACATCAGCAATATTAATGCTTTTTGGTATTCTTTCCTTAGCAACATTTATTATATTAACAATAGGAGTCGTAAAAGTGAATAAAACACTTGCTATTATAGCAGCTATTTTACTAGGTTGTTGTTCAATTGGTCTTATTATATTTAGTATTTGGTCATTTTTAACTATTACAAGTGGACATTTACCAGCATCAATTAACACTACAATTGTTACAGAATTAGATCAAACTCAATATAGTGTAGGTACTGGAAATAATATTATTATTGAAAATACAAATAAAATGGCAAGATTAGAAAAACAACATCAATGTTGTGGTCTTAATGATCCACTTGAAGATTATCGAAGTCGACAACCATCTGCATTTGGATCATTAAATCCTACACCAGCATCATCAGGTGGAAGTGGTAATAGTCGAAGTAAAACAACATCTACACAAAGAAATGCAGCAACATTTGGATCTTCTGTACAATTACCAATTAGTTGTTGTAATGAAAAATATCGTTCAGCTGATAATTTATGTATTGATATGTTTGCTAATAATACAAGTCCATTATATCGTTATAATACAGATGGATGTTATGCTGTTGTTGCTAGACATAAATTTGAACGTATTCAACGGCAAGGTTTTACAACTGTTGTTGCCGCATGTTTAGCCGTAATTAGTTGTATTGCTCTTGCGGCTGTTGTACGACTATTAGGTGAAGGTTATCAAATTGTACCATTACGTGCTACGACATAAACATTGATATTTTAAACAAACTAAATTTTTCTTTTCTCTCTTTTTTCCCAATATTAATATTTCCATGTCTTAATAATAAAACTAAAAATAGATTCTATTTATTTGATCTCTTATTAGAAGTAATATTTTCATTTGTTCTGATTATTATTTATATTAAATTCAAGTGCAACAAATATAGATTATATTATAGGATCTAATTTGTATTGTATTAAATCTACAAGTCATAAACTAAGCTCATTTTATTACAAACAAAATAGAGATCTTAATCAATTTTTTTTCCTACTCGTCATAAATAATTGACTCAAGTCGGTACATGATACTGTTGATCTTTATTTTACGTGACTAAGGCTTCATTATTTTCTTCTGTTCTTTTTTTGTGTCTGCATAACAGAGATTTGCATATTTGATCTAATCCTAATAATAAAGATAGGATAGAAATTTTAATTCGATATTTTAGCTGAATAACATTTCTAATTATGAATATTTATTTTGTATTTTGAAAATATATATACGAATAAATTGATACAATTCATTCCCTATTGCATAAGGTGTATTGATAAATCATTTTTCTTAAATAATTACAAACAAATATTTTCCTTTTAACTTCCTGAATAATAAGTCTTTCGGGAAAACAAGAAGAAGAAGAAAAAAGACGTATAATAATAGAAAAAATTCAATTGATGAAAATGATCAATTCAATCCTGTTGTATGCAAAGGTCTTTACATAATAGATTTATAATAGAATGTCTTATAATTGTAAATGTCAATGTAGAAAAAGAAGATAAGATTTTCCTCTTTTTTCATCATCTTCCTTTTCTTCGTCGTTTTCTTTTTCTTCTTCTAAATTAAATCGAGCTCTGTCATAGTAGATAAAAATCGTATTTATGTGTAGTTTCTATTTGTCTACAATGCAATTTCCCATGAGAAACAATGCTTTAGGCAATAAAAAAATATTAGAATTGACTGTGAAAGTAAATGTTAAATAGAAAACAAAAAAAAAAGAAAATGTATCATTCGACTAGAGAGCCATTATGGTTCTATAGAATGAGAATCGAACATGCACATATATATATATATAAATTGAAAGATAGTTTTCTTGACAAATGTTAAGTTAGACAAAAAGAAAAATATCAGAAAAACACAACAACATCATAATAATAATAAGAACAGCGCAAGACGATAGTCGACAATATGACCATCTTCATCGCTCATTTTCATTCAAAGCCTCCTCTTCTTCCTGCTTCTCGTTCATTCTGTTTTCGTCATTCTGTTTCTGATGTGATTCAGTAATGTCATACTATTTTTCTTTTGTAGATGAACACTTCTCGCGGTGCATACATGCATATGTAGTTTCAAGGCTAGTACTTGTTTAGTCGAGAGAATTTCCGGAAACTAAGACAAAGACAGAGCAGAAAAAAAGAATAAGAAGGAACGACGAGAGCAAAAAAAAGCTAGAAATGACTTTTTTAATGGTAGGAACTAACAAGGTTTTTCTTTTTTGCAATAGTTTCTTTTTGAACGTTTTTTCCTTTGTTCTTTCATCTACAATATGTTGCAGATAAAAACAAAAAAAGGATGATCGATTGTTTAATGACAATCGTATAATTTATTTTTTTTATCAATGCCTCACAGGCATAAACACTTATATATATATATTTGTACAATAGGATAAACTCAACAAAAACAGTTTTTATCTTATTTAAGAATAATGAAGCCAAAGGATAAGTGATACTTTATGTATTTATTTACTAAATCATGATATATATATATATATATATATAAGACAACAATTATTATTTATTCCGAATAGATACTTATTTCAGATAATGTGTGATCAACCAATACAGATAGCTGTTTTAGGCGATAAAGCTGTTGGAAAAACAGCAATAGTTCGTCAATGGTTATATAATGATTTTTCCACAGTATATTCGGAAACAAATATAGCATCATACCATTTTACATCATTATTTAATGGTCAACGTTTATTTCATATACGTATTATTGATACACCACGTTTTGATGATACAAATAATACTGATCCTCAACAAGAATGGGTACGAATGTATTGTTTTCGTCGTGCACATCTTTTTCTATTAGTATTTGATATAAATCGTGAAGAAACATTTAATTATATAAAACATATTTATCGTGAAATAGCTCGTGTACGTCTTGGTGGTCATCATCAATATTATCATCATCATTCACATTCACATTCACATTCACATCATCAATCACAAATCCTTGCTGATCTTACAAATGATGATGAAGTTGAACAAATAACAACAATAGCAACAAAAACATATATACCTGTTATTGTTGTTGCTAATAAAGTTGATTTAATCTCAACTGATTTAAGATTTTCCAATATAACATTGACAAATTCACGTGATATACAACAATATGTAAAAAAAACTTTTAAAGCTAATACAATACAATGTTCAGCAAAATTTCATTGGCATTTAGTTTTATTATTTAAAGAAGTTTGTCGAATGTTAGAAACTGTTGAAGATACTGTTGCTAAACAAGCGGCACAACAAGCAAGAAGATGGCTTCAACAACAACATCATGGAAAACATTGTCATGTTATGTAATACAATTCTGTTCTTTTTCTTTGTCGTTCTTCTTTTTTTCTTCTTTCACGAGACATTGATTTAAATTAATAATTGTGCCTTCTTGTTGTCCCTATATTTGTGCTGATTCAAACCTAAAAAATAAATCAATGTAAAACGTGCATTGTGTACGTTTACAATAACAACAACAAAATGCAACATGCTGTGTTGAAATAAATGTATCAAAGATGAGAGGAAAAAGAATCACGTTTACAATTAGGTTAACATGACCAGTCTAAAAAGTAAATTAACGGAAGTGAATTTGAAGTGAATATTACTTTATTAGACGCCTACATTTTAATTTAAAAAGAATAAGAAACAATGCTTTTACTTATGGCGTCATCAGACACACAGACGGATATATATGTTGTATTATATTTTTAAATTAAATAACGATGACGTATATACATCAAGCTCAAAAATAGATGGAATAAACGGATATCAATAATAAGAATATAGAAAGACGGTGTTAGCAATGATTACTGTCAAAAAATGTTTTCATATATTTCTTTGATAAAATTGCTATTTTATCTTTAGAAAGGTGAATGTACTGCCTATTGAAAACCTACATATGAATTGTATCGTACTGATTGTCTGATAGAAATAGTTAAAAATAGGGTGTACAAAAAATAGTTTGTAAAACGATGTGATATAAGAGAAAATCAGTAAAATCAATAATTGTTTTCTACCCATTTTAGTATTAAAAACCAATCAATGTATCCAGTTACGTACTAAATTTACCTAATAATACCATGAAAAATTGCGAATCACATGTTTTTGTGTGAAAAACATCAAAATAAATGATCGAAAATTGGTTTATTCCTCCTCCTCCTTCTGTCTGCACCTGTACCCCACGTACAAAATGTTTTTGACTCAGACGGAAGTGCGTCTACGCAAGATATTATATATTGTCTTGCTTGCCTGCATATTTTTTTCCAAACTACTTTTAATAAAAGTAGTTAGAAGAGAGAGAGAGAGAGAGAGAGAGAGAAGTAGAGACGTTGATAGACTGACGTCATGCTTTTACTATCTTATATAAGATTTTCTACGAAATTCAAAAACTAATTTAATACAAGTTTTCTTTTCTTGGAAGATTTTCTGACGTACAGGGGAAATTTATTACTAAGTTATTCTCCATTAGACGTGACAATAAGGAAGTAGAGATATTGTATTTTGATAAACAGTTGTCTACTTTCAATTAATTAACAAAAAAAAAATCATTTTTATTTTATTCAATTCAAAGGTTCATCATATATACAAAGAACAAAATTAACAATGTACACATTGATTTTGCTTTTATTTATCTTAATCTGTTTATTGGTTATTTATTTAATTCATATTCATCGATCTTATTCCTTTTTCAAAAAACTTGGTATAAAAGGACCAAAGCCAACATTCTTCTTGGGTAATTTAGGTGATTTTCATCGAACAAAGCGCATGTCAGTATCCATTCATAATTGGACAAAACAATTTGGTCGTATATATGGTTATTTTGAAGGTCATACACCCATACTTGTAGTATCAGATTCAAAAATTATAAATGAAATATTTACAAAAAAAAATTTTTCAAAATTTCATTCACGTCGTCAATTTCCATTAGAAGATCGTCGTACAGAAACTGGTGTTCATCTATTCAGTGCTACCGGTGATGAATGGCGACGACAACGAGCTATATTTAATCCAACATTTTCATTAACTAAAATCAAAAATATGCTACCAACTATTGAAGATTGTACTGCGACTTTATTGAATAAATTACAAGAATCTATGCAGACATCACCTCAAGGTTTTGATATTTATAAATTATATAAATGTCTTACAATGGATCTTATTTGGAGATGTTGTTTCAATATGAAAACCGATATGCAAAATAATTTAAATAATCCATATTTAATACGATCTCAACAAGTATTTGCTAGACAAAATTCAACATATTTAGCTACATTATTAAGTATTTTTATACCAGAACAACAATCTACATGGTTAGCCATGCATTGCTGGTTGAATAATATCAAAGCTAAATTACGTCATTTATTACCAATAGGTAAAAATTTAATTGAAGAAGATCCAAGCGAATGGCTCAAAAACAATGTTGATGATTTTATTGACAAAGCAAAAACTAGTCATAATGAAAATAGTATTAAGTCAAATGATTTATTACGCTTAATGCTTGATGCAACGAAAACAAATTTTACGGATATTAACCAGGTAATTATTTGAAAAGATTGATTCAAACGAGAAATTGCTTGTTTTTTTGTTTAAAATCATGAGCCCTTTTAAAGATTTGTGAATGTTCTCAATTACTGGGAACATTATAAAAAAAATTTCCTAGAAGTTTTCTTTACTCTGTTTTTTTCACATTAACTCTTTGGCTTCCGGTTTGCTCTACAAAAATTTAAATTTTTATAAGTAATGCTTAGAGACATATGTGCATCGTCGGAAGGCAAAGAGTTAAATTCTTTCTTTTACCTATTATAATATTATTTTTTCTTTCCATTTCAGCAAAGTCACCATGACCGTGTTTTATCAATTAATGAAATAAAACAAAATATTTATTTGTTTATGACTGCTGGTTATGAAACAGCTAGTACAACTCTTGCTTATATTACTCATGTATTAGCTACACATCCTGCAGAACAAAGAAAATTACAAAATCATATTGATTCTTATTTAAATAATGACGATATTCTTGATCTTAATATTATTGAGAAAATGGAATATCTTGATCAATTTATTAAAGAAACATTACGTATGTATCCAATAACACCAATTGTTATCAATAGAGAATGTTCAGAACAAATTAATATACCTCGTTTGGGTCTTATTTGTCCAGGTACTAAAATTACAGTCGATATGTATAGTTTACATTATGATAATGAGTTATGGGGACCAGTTGATACAAAAATATTCTATCCGGAAAGATTTGCAAGTAAACCATCACATCCAGCTGAATGGATTCCATTCGGTATTGGACCTCGAAAATGTGTTGGTATGAAATTTGCACTTACGGAAATAAAAATTATAATAATACGTCTACTACAAAAGTATACAGTATTACCAATGTCAATGAATGATACTGATTTAGAACTTGTTGAATTAGTAACAATTACACCAAAACAAGTATCAGTAAAATTAGAAAAACGAACAAATATATAAAGATATTATTTTTTTATATAACATAAAACAAAAAACCCGTCTTAGTCACTTATATGAAATGACAAAGTCATGTATACACTTTATTTTATTTTATTTTTTTGTTGTTTTTGTCCTTGTGAATATAATATACATGAATGATCGTTTAAACGTTTTAAAAACAATAAATGTCGTTTTATCTTATTTATATAAAAATATTTGATCGATTCTAATATCATATATCGTACTATTAACATTCATGTAATCATTAACAAAACAATATAATGACATTCTATTTTCATAGTATATAATATTGTTTATACTAATAGATAAAAGTCAAGGTTACAAAATGTTCCTACCGAACGTTTCTATACTACGTATGTTATCTTACTAAAAATAGATCTTTATCTTCAGATATGATTGTTCTCATCGTACGTAACATAATAAAAAAATTTTAATAAAGAATATTTATTCGTATTTAAATCAATTTCGTCATAGAAATTGAATAATAGAGGTTAAGAAAATATTGATAAGAAATTAATTAAAATTGTATAATTATAGAAATATTTTTTTTTGTTTTGAAATATACCATATGTATAAATCAGATATTATTCTTTTCTCTTCAGGGATTATATACATATGGATGATTATTTTATATGACGTTGTAGCTTATTTATATTTATATCATATGACATCTATCACTTAGAATACTATTCAGAATTTCGTCATCGACTGACAAGAAGAAAAATAAAATTTTTATCAAATCTGATTGTAATCGAATGAGAAAAGTTAAAACAATCAGATTTATTATTCGTATAATTGTGATATGCATAAGTAATCAATCATTTATAGCAGACATCATTATTGAATCAAACAGATTTATATCTAAAAATATTTTTCTCAACTTGTCGTGATTTATAAGTATGATAAATGATTATTCATTAGATTCTTTCGTTCAGCAAAATTTACAAATATATTTATTATGATTTAAAAATTGTGGGAAAAATTCAATATGAAAAAAAATAAAAGAATCGTTTACGATAGTGTTCAATATCTATTTCATTAATCATCATCTGATTCTGGTTATTCAACTACAATTAATTCTTAATACTTCATAGTATGTTACAATATTAACTATATCTTTATGACCAAAATAAGATATAAGTATTGACCTACTATCATATGTGTCTTTTTTTGGTACATTGGCTTTTACTCAAAAAAGATTTCGTCAAGTTTAGTCAAATGTTTTATTTCTTTCTACTGTATTTTGCGAACGAATAAAATGGTTAGGTCATGAACGGTAATGGAAAACACAGATACTAATTTATATAGGACGATAATATGGAATGGGGTTTTTGAATATATTTTATACGTATACATATTTAGAATAAACAGAATGCGAATAAGTAAACACGGGCGAATAGATAGATAAAGATAAAGAGGGAGAGAGAGAGAGATATAAGAAAGGCAGTGATCGAATAGCTTAGTTATGCACATGCACATTGGCTTCACCGTTCTTTATCTATACAGTATTGTATTCTTTCAATTCTGATTATTTCTATTTAGTCTGTCTGTCTGTCATCATTCATTCGTAATAAATAATGATCCGTAGGATTACTGATCATTAGAAAGAAAAATGAACAGTAATTTTACTCGTTTGTTATTATATTTTCTCTCTTCTTCATTTGTATCTTATTATGAACAATGAAAAAATAACCATACATTCATCGATACATATATATATATATATTTTAGATATATACTCCATGTCAAAGTCTTCTCTACCGTCTTCATCAAGACCAAATGATTATTTTGATTTACCAGACGAAGCGAGAGCCGATGATCAATATGTAGTCGAAAAAATTATGGGTAAACGACGAAGTCGAAAAGGAAAATGGGAATATTTACTTAAATGGGCTGGATGTAAGTTTTTCTCATTCTTTATTATTAAATTATTTAATACAATATCAGATGAGATTCATTCAACTATTTATTTCTAAGACGTATTATTTAATATTTAATTCTGTAGATTTTATTTTTAGTCAGTGAAGCTGATAATACTTGGGAAGCTAAAGAAGATATTCATCCAGATCTAGTAGCTGAATACGAACGTACTCATATTGAAGTAGATGCTTTAAATCCAATTTATTCAACATTAGGTGACGATTCAGCAATAAAAGCACGAACGTCACTATCAACATCAACTTCATCAAATCATACCGAATCACCACCAGCTAAAAAGAAAAAGAAAACTTCAAATTCTGTTGTTTTAAACTCATCATCATCATCAACAATAACAACTACAGCAACAGCAACAGCAACAGCACCAATAACAACAACAACTACAATAGCAGCCGCAAAAGAGTTACCAAAAAAAACTTTTGGCGTAGAAAAAGGCTGGCGAGTACGTGCAGTAATTGGAGCAGCAAAACAAAAAGATTCATCAGTATTATATGCTGTTGATTATGTTCAAGGTTCACCAGTATTACGTGAATATGTTCCATCAGAAATTGCTCATATCTATATTCCACGTGAATTAATAGAATTTTTTCAAAAAAAAATCGTTTGGAATTCACCAAAGTAAAAAAAAGCGCAAGGAAAAACCTTGAGTGAGTGCGATGTGATTTTTGTATATCTATACATATTGTTTTTCCTTTTTTTCTTCTCTTCGTGTCAGATATATTATGTTTCATTATTATATATATATTTACATTTGATCTCCCCAGTTTTTTGTGATTTTTCTCTTTTTTTTCTTTTTGTTGTCATGGAAAATTAACAGATTATAAAATATATACATACAAATATATGGATAGGCATGATGAACAGCGAACTCTCGAAAATATTTTCTTATTGGTGATTTAGATATAACCAATCAAAATAAACGACGGAGTCTACTTCGCACGTGCTTTGAAGTACATATTTATTTAACATCACGCAGTAAAAGCTGATTACTACTATATATATACGTGTATTTTTTATCTATAGTTAACATATGGCTTTTATTTTATATAAAATATTAAAAAATCATCCATGTAAACTTTTAGATTGAATATTGTAAAAGAAATATATAACAATGGTTAGTACAGAAGGTATCCCAATTCGTCGTTTGGTTGTAAATGATCCAAAAGATATGCCGCTTCATTATGGTGAAACACCTGGTGGAAGTATCTTTTCAACAACTCCAGGAGGTAGAAAATTTTTTTCGTTATTAGAAGTTTTATAATGATAAGTAATTGTTAGGTAGTCGTATATATTATGATCGAGCGTTTTTACTTTCTCGTCGGGATTCACCTATGACACGTTCACCACCGCATTTACCGTTTATTCCGGAAGGTTAGTATCATAAACTGAGAAAAAATTGTAAGTTAATATTGTGTTTGTATATAGTTACATTAATTCCGGAACCACATAAGAATGATGATATCGTTGAAAATGGTGTTAAAACCGACAAAAAAGATAGAACAGGATCAACAATTGATAAATCAACATCAGGAAAACAACATACAACAACGGGCAAAAAAGGTAAAAAATCGCAAAATTGTTCGAGTACTTTTAATTTATAGAAAATAATTTCCTTATAGAAGGTGATGATCAATTTTCTATGGATATGTGATCTTCCTTGTTTTTTGTTTATTTGTTGTATGATAAAACAAAATCATGCACGAACATTATCGTTATCATAAAGATAAACTGATATAAACTCTCCTGGTTTTTTTCTTCTGTGTTGTTGTATTATCTAAATCCTTTGATAAAGAACAGTCCTTTTTCTTTCTTTTTCTCCGGTGTGTTTATTTTCATTCTATTATAAAAAGCAGTTTCGATGAATGTTATTAGATTAGATAACTGTTTTTCTTTTCTTCTTTTTATTGTTTGTCTATGTCTTCCTGTTAACGAATTTGTCATTGTATGTTTCATATATAATGCTTTCGTCCTGCTCAAAACAGAAAAAAAGGGAAAAGAAGTGTATAATATTCTTCTTTATTGTCATTTGTTATATTGTATTTTTGCTAGTCTTGTGAAAAAAAAACTAACTGTTTTGTTTTTTTTGTTTTGTTCTTTCTTTCTTTTTCCTGTGTAACAAAAAAAATAAATAAAACAGAAGTTGACTTTACATAAAAGCTGTTACACTGATAGAGATATATATAGAACATGAATATTTGTTCATTTCTGTCTAAAAAAGATTGCCTCTGCATCAGTAATTATCCAAAACATGTTAATAGAGTAGAAAATCCCGTGACAATAACTTGTTGATGTCAACTTTATTCTAACTCTCGAATACCTATAAATTTCAAGTACAATATTTGTTTTTATGTCAATTAAACGCAAGCCGTAAAATTTTGTTTTCGCAAATCTACGACGCAATAGATTATGTCAGTGATTGATCGTTCTATTTTTCGCTAAGCGTATTAAAAAAATAGTAATCGTATTACACATTACCTGTATAATGTTATTAACATTAGAAATAATTTTTAACCGTGCAGGACAAAATTATCATGAATATTTTTGTCACATGTAAATATTAAAGGTTATATTGATAATAACATCATGTGATTTTTTTTACGTGACACATAGTATGTTAAGAGTCAGCGTTCAAGGTCTGATCTAAATATTTTTCCTTGAGTACATGATGACTATCTTAGTGTTAGGGTTAGAAAGTTT